GGGAGACTCCCTGACCCTACTGACATAACTATTGATTTGCTTATGTTGATGAACTGTGATGATGAAGAATGTGCATTATTGTCAGTAAGAGATGGCTGAATTGGAAACATATAGGAACTATTTTAAGTGAGATCCTACTTGGATGCCAGAGAACCTTTAGTAGTGTGTAAAAATAGGGGTCGAGAGCCAAGTTAAGCACCAAGAGAACGAGTGGGGGAAAGCCTTGGTGGATCCCTCTCTCCATTACTACTGATGCCAATTCCACAATCTGAAATTGTAAATCCAATCTATTCCAGTGTATTAAATGTTTGCATACTACTTAGAATGAAGACAGACATTTTATGTAAAACTTTTTTTATATTAATTTATTATTTACACATGCACTATAATGCATATTTATATACAAAGCTCATTTTTATATATATATATTTTTGTGTGGTAGTTTTGCCATTGATGTAATTTTATATAACAAATAAATCACATTAATTAATAGAAACAAATCTATTGCTTTCTTACCAACAAATTGCAAATAGTAAAAATAAATAAATTAAAAAATGAAGCCATAAAAATGCATCCTTGTAAGATTAAAGGAGAATATGACAAGTTCATGTGTAAACATATTTTTAGTAAATCAGCATTACTATGAAACCATGGGAAAATTATGAAAACATATATTTGCTTTTTTGATAATTCTCATGCATTCTACTGGAGCTGAAGCCAAAGTAACCCATAACAGATTCATAGCACATGCAATATTGTCTATCGAATTTATGCAGCAATACATACAGCTCTCATCCCCTCTAAATAGATAAATTCCTGTTCAGCAAAATTATTTAATTTAGTTGTTAAATGATTTCATCATATGGAAGTTTTAAAAAAAATTTCCCCTGAAGTTCAACTTCTGCAGGTGGTGGAACGAGCTATACAAAGCAAGTCCCTCTTAGCAGAAACAATATAAAACAAACATATAGAATCTTCAAGGTTATTAATCTAGACAAAATCAACTGATAATGAGTGTATATTTTAGTCATTCTTTTCCAGTTTACTGCCTCGGTTGAATTCGCTCATTTGCTAAATGTTCTGGGAGGTGATTGGCAAATGAAGCATTATTTAAACATTAATCAATCTGATTTTGGTACAATAAACAAACAGTTATACTTGAAAAATGAGAGAAGGAAAATATGTGTGAGTGTTTTGTAGAGAATCACATCTCTTGTTACAGACATCAGGAGAAAATACTACAATTAAGACTGTGCAAGCTTAGATTGTCTATCTGAGAGCATGCACAACATTGATGATGTTGGCAAATGTCATTTGTGAACTCTTAATCAAAGCAAAAGTACAAGAATGTATCAGTTCATCTTAATGATCCAATTACCTAAGTTATCACACCTTCATTTTCAAAGTTTTGTCACTG